AGTAGCTCTGATTACAACAAATATTATGAAATCTATTAGTTTATTTTTTATAAGTAATATAATTGTATAACTGTACATATAACTAATACTTTCTTGAAAATAATGACCTACCCGAAAATAATGTCTTAATGACCGGAAAACCTAACACTTTTAAAAAAAAACTTTTAATTATGAGTAAATAGAGAATAAGACCTTTACTGCATAAAATTGTGTATCCTTACATAAGTTGTTTTATATATCATGTACAATAAGAGACCATTATTGCAATTGTTTTATAACTATTTTAGTGCAAAACAAATGATGAATAATTAGGGTTGGAAAAATAAAGCCAACCTCAAAAAAATCCAGTAGGCTTTTCTTTGCTAAATTTAATAACTTTTTCAAAACAATAAAAAACTTGGAATATTTTTTTTCAAGTTTTCTTTGACATAAAAATTTTTTTTGTTAAAAATATGTGGTTTTCATTTAAAATAAAAAGTTAGCTTTTTTATTTTTATTTCAATCAGTATTTAAAAATATAAAATTAAAAAACCCAGCACAGGTGGGTCGTGGCACACCACACGTGGCACACCACACGTGGCATAGTTGAATTAAGTATAATGATATCTGACAGTGATTAAAATGACTATCATAAAAAACGCTTCGATGCAAATCTTTAGATAGTGTTTAATTTAAAAAAATTGATGGATTATTCCAAAAGCTACATGATCTGCTATATCCTTATTTATATCCTGATTAAGATAAAGTATGTTGAATGAAAAAGGGGTATAAATTAACACGGCCGCCGGGGATTGACGGCCGGTTATAGAAAGTGTACCGGAAATCATGTGAAAAAAAGAGGCACGGTACGGGATTAGAACCCGCGACCCAAGGCGTCGTAAAGACAAACCTTACCACTAGGCACTTATGATTCAGATCCCGATACACTTTCATATAGGTTGATAACGTGATGTGCGGCTAAGGGAAACACGGTACCGTGTTAAAATATTATTTCTCATAAAAAAATTGTATTAATCTACACGTTTTTCAATAAGTTATAGCATTATGAAGTTAAAAATGTATAAAATAAAATCGAGAATTTTCACACAAAAAAAAGCATTTGGTAGCCATTTTCATCATGAAGACAAAATAAAGTCCAAAATTATTTTTTTTCATAATGAAGTGTATTACATTATCTTTAATTTAAGAAATATATAAGAGTTTCAAACTTTCCGGAACACTTTCAAAAGTTAATTATTTGTGAATAAGTTCTCATTTTAACCCCCTCCCCATGGTCACGTTTATAAAAAAATATACCAAAAAATAGGTAATGTTATTATGCAACTATAAAAAAATTTATATTTGGTAACTTTTTAAAAAGTTATGGTAGTTTTAAGTAAAAAAAAAAATTGAAAAAATGTCGAAAATTAGCGATTTTTACATTTGTATTTTTTTTGGAGATTTACACTATTTACGGGGAATGAGGGAAATTTTTTCAATTATTGAGGGTAATGTCTTCGACTAAATACAATTTGTGACCTTTTGACGTATCGTTGAAAGAAATCGGTTCAGTGTGAGCTGAGAAAAAGTGGTAACAGAATCAAAAAAACACATCATAGTAAAACCAATACCTTCTCAGCATCACATCGAAGCTAAAAAACAGATAATAATAATAGTATTATAATAAAAGTATTGGGCGCTTAACAAGAGTATCGAGCAGAGAATGAGTGTAGCAGAGATGAAAATGCTTAGTTGGATGAGTAGAGTGACTAGAGAAGATAGGATAAAGAATGAATATATAAGAGGGAGTATAGGTGTAGAGTCAATCGTGGATAAAATGAGAGAAAAAGACTTAGATGGTTTGGTCATGTTATGAGGAGAGCAGAATCGGAAGCTGTAAGAACAGTTATAGAAATGAATTTTGAAGGAAGAAGAGATAGAGGAAGACCAAAAAATAAAAGGAGTGATGTTATTGAATGCGATATGATGGCTGATGTGGGAAATCTTGTCAAGTGAAAATTTAGGATAAGTGTGGTGTCGACCACAAGTAGTTGGGATAAAGGCAAGGTAAAAAAAGAAGACTGTAACACTTAAACAATGTTTGAGTATTTTAGTCGAGCCTGACTTTTTTTAGCAATAAAAATTAAAGAAAAATTATTCAAATACCCTTTTTTTTATTACGCATTCAAATAAAAAACAAATAGCGATAAAAAAAATGTCAAATAATCTGTAAATTATAATTGTCAGCCCTCCTACCAATAAAATTTCTGGTTTCGCCACTGACTACTCAAACTATAAATTTATAGTTTTTATTAACACTGTTATTGTTTTATATCAAATTTTATAATTATCCATTTCGAATACTTTCAATAACATTGATTATTATTATTATTTTTAAAGTAATGAATGTGGCATAATTTTTTTTTCATATATACACGATTTTACCAAGCTGAATTTTTTTGTTAATGTTTTAAAATGTCGGTTTAATGATAATGAACTTTGCCACTGTCTTGCCTAAAAGTATTGTTCTATTACTTTGAAAGCATTGTGTATTATGTTCAATTTCTTTCGTTCAGTTTTAAGTATTATATTCTCGAGGAATACAATGTATTTGTATGACTATACAATGTTTAAAACGGTCGTAGTTTTGAAACCGACCGCTGCTTACAAGTCGTTTCATTTCCTTCTGAAATGTATTAAATAATACTGTTTTGTTGGAGCTTGTTATTATTGTTTAAACTTATAACAAACCTTATAAAAACAAAAGTTGATGTTCTTAAAACCGTTACCGATGGTTTAAATATTTATACGCTGAATAAAATTCTTATTGTGCGTAGTTAAGTAATTTTACGCACTTGTAATGTTATACCAAAGTAAACCAAAGTCATCGTTGCGTTACGGTGATTGTTTATGTTTCATAAATAGCATAGAATTTTCATTTTATTTAAATTTTATTTCACTGTTATCGTGTAAGTTTTTTGCTATCCGCTTCTATTCAATCCTTACGGATAGATCGTGTCATTATCATAAGTACGTCTGTGCGTATTGTGTTAGTTGCCGTTCTTCTTTATTTTACCCGTTCTCGGAGGAAATGAGCATATATACAGAGAAACACGTTTCCTTCCTCTCGTGGCATTCCACTGAACCATAGAGTCGCGTGTTCTTTATCTTTCGCCATTCGCACTATTTCTTTTACCCTGTTGGGCGCTCCCTTGGAAATTTTCTCTCCGTCCAACGCAAATGTTTAAACTAAAAGAGTATTTTTTTTTTGGCGTTGAGCCACCGGCTATTCCTAAAAGAGTGTATTATAATACAAATGACCAGGTAGGCGGTGTCGACGGCCACAGTGGAAATTCTAAAAAACAATTGTTATTTTACCGTACACAAATACAACAGAGAGTACACAATATAATAGAATTTGATGATGATGACAATGGGGGCCGAGAGTATGAAAAGCGTGGGAGTTTTATCGCACTGGAAAGCGTTGGCTTTGCGGTTTACCAACACACGAGAATATAACAATAATGATCGTACTGAGGCTGCACACCCTCCTCAACGTTTGTTGGACGGTATAATCAGCGAGACATTATTACTATATAATCGGCATGCACAGATGACAATATAATATTCTATTATTTCAATTTATCACGTTGTGTAAATAATAGTACCGCTAATTTGTTTTTAATTACAAGCGTTTTATGCAGCGTTAGTCGTCTTGCATCATTATCATCATAAATAAGTACGACAATAATCCCACTTCTTCTGATCCTGATGTATGCAATCGTTTGTTGAGTCCTGAAGTTGTACCCCTCTTTCATAAATCGACTACGCGTTGACAATAATACAATGGCAACAACAAAAGTGATAATAATTGTGTTTTCTCAAATAATCATCAGGAGTCTAGACAAACAATTCAAATCCTGTTTGATGGCGAAAATTAAATTTTATTTTAGGCTATTGAAACAAGCACGACTCGAAGATTTAGGTAAAAGTCATTTTAATGACGAAGAATAATAGCATCTATTTAAGTTTAATTTAAAATAAAAAACTATTAAATTTATATAGACTTTGTGTAATAAATATTATAGAAAGTCTGTATTAACTTTGTAATTTTTTTATTTTAAATTATATTTTATTTATATTATACATAGAAGGTCTATAATCAAATATTGTAATAGCATCTGTTCAAGGTCTATTACTTTTGATGTAGCCCAATTCGTTACATGTTATCTATCCTGTCTTTGACGTTTTTATGAAAAATGTTATTAATAATATGTTAGACAAGTATTGGACAAAGCTTTATTCACGAAGTTTATAACTCGCATGAGAATAATGAATAGTTAAAAGTTATATATAAATAACAGGAATGTTATTAATAATTTTAAGTCACACGTACCTATTACTGAAAATAAACCGACATTATGTCTGTATGTGGATTTAGGAAATTTATAATAAGAGGGTACTAAAAGTGAACCTCTCTGAACCCTACTCGAGTTAATAATTACTAATTATTCCATTAGTTATAATTAATTGAAATCGTAAAAAAAATATTTATATTATAAGCAAAGTTCATTTGAATACAGTTAATAGTGTGTGTGTATTTTTTTAATCGAAATTGAGCAATAATTTTTGACATTTCAAACAAAAATCGGCACAATGTCAACTAATAACAGCGATTTAAGTTTTTGTTCAAATTTTACATGTTATTTAGTAAGTTACTGCAGTCATTATTAAGAAAAGAACAAAATAATGTTTGATTACACTTGGAATGCTGAATTGAAAAATAAGTTTAGCTAGCGGTGAATTTATAATGAATAAATCGTTAAAAATTAATTACAACGGTTAATTCGTACTATAAACTCAATGATTCTAAAAACACTTGTAACTGCATAATTTGCAGTGCATATCTTTGTTAAAAATTCCATGGCGGTTGATGAGACTTGCACTCGTGTAGCGCTTCTGTGTTGGTATTCGGATGAATTAATTCACAGCGTGCCACTGTTTGCTGGTTCACCATCTCCTTAGGCGCACACGGTCGCGTGCCGGCACACGGCCCAGACGTTTGTTCGCCATAAAGTTGTTTCGTTACAACACTGCAAGCAGCGTGGTTGACGACGGCAAACATTTCCAAACGTTTACTTGACGGCTAATTTTTTTTATTTGTGTTTTTCGCGATTTCCATAAAACATAGATTTTCGAAAAAATAATAAATAGCCGTAAAAAAAAAGTCGGCCTGTCCAATATTCTCAAATTGTAACAACAATATCATTGAAATATATTGCGAAAGTAGTAAGTACATGTTTTATGATTAATTATAATTGTTTTTTTTTTTTATCAAAGAGCTATGTATCCTAACTTCTTTTAATGCTACCGTCTGTCATTACTATTATTATTATATGAAACAGCAATGAAAGACCATTATCCATTGCCTTTGATTACTGTTAGCCGTCGTTACCTGCTACTATTACTATTCTTTTATTTAGGAAAACTTTATTATTATTACCGTTATTATTTTACTTTATTATTATTATATCGTTTCTTCTTTACTTCTGCCGTTATTATTATTATTATTATTACTGTACCTACTGCTGCTAACGTTAATATCGTTGTCGTCGCGACAACGTTGCAGGCGGATACTCAAGCTCAGTGCGTTTCCGTTAAAAAATACAAGGTGACAAAAGTTGTCTTTGCAACGTGCCCAAAAAGACAAGGGGAGGATTTACTTTCTTTCTTTTGCATATAAATATATTATATGTTACTTTTATAGTAGCAAACAATTCATGATATATACGGGTGTTAAAAATAGCCCATTCTATTATCTACATTATTTATTACACTAAATTGTCCCATTTCTTTTATTCTGCGCGACGTTTGGAATATTTGGCATACATAATAATCTATTAGCACGCGTATACATTTCAAAAATTAAGTGTCATAACATATTGTTTTTTTATTCATTTATTCACATTTTATAAACTATAATTATTTTCTTGATCCGAAAAGTTTCATTATTATCATTGAATACAAATTATTTGCCAGGTGAATATTTATTAAAATTAATGGTTTCGAACTATATAGACAACTAACACGCAAATAAATAATTCAAAATTAAAGAAAATTTAATATTTTTTTAAACTATAACTTATCAATTTTTAAGTGGTTGTTCGAGCCATGTCGTAAAAAATAGATATTTATTAATGAATATTTATGAAAGTCATAAATCTAATAATATATTTGAAATTATATCGTTACAAATGTAATGGTCAACTTATTCCAATGTGTGTAATCTACAACTAAACAATTTTTAATTCGATTAATGCGTAGTTGTTACTTGTCGTATTACTTATAAATAATAATATATGAACATATTGTTATGTTTCATACTTTAATATAAAGAAAAGAAATTTTATATAATTTTTACAAAAATCTGTCATAACTTTTTGTGTCTAACTTGTATTTTCTTAAACTAGACAATATTTTATAATATTCTACCAAAAAAATTTCATAATCATATTTGATTAAAACAATAATTTATGTAACATAAATTTTTTTTATAAAAGATAACAATTTTTAAGTAGAACATTTTTGAAAATATTTTTATGATAAAAATTTGGAAAATTATTAACGTTTATACTTTTCATTACGTTTATACTTTTTCAATATAAATTTTGTAAAAATATACATCTATAACTATTTTTTTGAAAATGTTCTTTGGTATAAATTACAAACTAGAATTTTTTTTTTAAATTCCCTCATTTATTTGTAGTGGTTATTAAAGGTATTATATTATCAGGTATTTTAGGAGGTTTTTAATTAGTAAAATAATCATAATTATAATTTTAGTGTACTGAAAATTTTACCTTATATCAAATTGATATTTTTATATATATTGTCTTAATTTTGAAGGGTTAAATAATATAATGGGATATTTTAATAACAATATTATCTATAATGTTTCTTGTTATTAATGTGAAGACGAAAAAAATAATTCTTTTTTCTGCATTTAAATTTAAAAAATCCATGACATTAAACATGAAAGTAGTGATATTGCATAGTTTATACGCCGTCTTTAGAGGATGTTTTTTTGTGCTTATTAAACGAGCATTGAAAAACTATTCTTATTATCTTTGTTTGTCTGTCAATTCAGCATTCACACGACATTTTGAGTATATTATGTGATATTATAGTGAACACAAGAAATTGTAAAAAAAACTTTTCATTATTTTAATTGAAATATACAAAAAAGGAAAAATTAAACTAGTACTGCCACGGTCAACGTAATATAATCGAAGTATTTTTTTATATTGGTATTAATTGATATATGATAGCGATTACAAACACTGTCATAATACGCTTCAAAACGTATTTGAAACAAACTGAAAAAAAAGAATTAATATATCTACCAAAAATTGCATGATTTTAGTCTTGAATAATTACTAACAGAGGACAAGTCACTGGATTGTTTTTTAAAAATTATATAATATAAAACAAGATTAATTTTGAGTTTTGGATAAATTGGTCGATAACTTTAAGAAATGAAGTTAACATATATATTTTTTTCCATATTTAAATAAATTATATTAGCATTAATTCAACATAAGTTTAAAGGTTACATGTTACTTGGAACATTATTAAAAATTAGAAAGAAAATAATTTTTATATGATTTTTAGGCCACTAAAGTTTATTAATTTATATTTATTATCTTGGTTAATGAATGGATTTCCGAAAAAAAATATTTCGTCAGCTAGGTAAATGTCTGAAAGTTTATTAATAAAAATTGGAAAAAATTCCGTATAGTTTTTAAATTGTTATTTCAATATAAAGTATAAAATAAATATTTCAACATTGACTGTTTTTATATAACTGTATTTTTTTGGGACATTTCCTTTTATCATGAATATTGAGGGGAATTTTTCAAAATTATGGTGATGATAGCTTTAATAACATAAGAATTTCGATTCTTTAACGTATCATTGAGTAAAATTGTTCCAACAAGAGTAGCATATTTTTATGGGCAGACAAAAAAAAACACGGCACAGTAATACAATAGCTTCTCAGAAACATTCGAAGCTAAAAAAGGTAAACAATAATAGTGATATCAAATATTCGAAATGTATCACTTTTTTTAGCACTTAAGTTAGCAAAATTTTAATATTAAAGAGAAAAAACTTGAATATGTATTTGACTTGTATAGAAGTTGCAAGGCAAACAAAAACAATAAAAATACTTTGTAAACTATTTTTATTCGATAGATGGAATAAATTAAGTTGATTATTTGAATTCGTTGATGTTACGAAAATAAAACACTAGTCATTTATGGTGTATGATTGATAGTCAGTTATTGATAATTATTTTCTTATTAAAACGAATGTAGCATACTTGTTCAGTTTAAGAATAACTTTATTTTAAGGTTATTTTCCTATTATACTTTTATATATACAAAAAATTATAATAATTGTTAAACTTATTTATTAATAATTTTCCCATACTGAAAACCGCCTGTTTTTATTTTATGTTTATTTTTATTTTAATATTTATATTTTTACAAATTCAGAAAATTTGTCGTGAATTTTACTCAAAATAATTGCTTAGATTTCAATGAATTCTAATTAAACTCGATTAAACTTATTAATGAATTTGACTAATTTTACAACATCAAAAATTATTTAATAATTTATTTTTATTATTATCGTTCAAAGTAAATATTTTGTTTGTATCAAGGTATAATTTTTAAATCTAACTAGACTAGCATTTAAATAATAATTAAGTTCTTAATTATTTCTTTAATTACAATTATTTTAACTATTAAATAGTTGAATTCATATCAACTATGAATATTGTATTTACTTTTGCATATTTTTAAAAATTCCAGTATGTATACCTTGTCTAGTTTTTTGCCCCATATAAATAATAATAGTCTTCCTGTTAGTTTGCATATTTGATTATCATTATCCAACTTTTTAGTCAAATAATAAATTTAAAAGTGAAATATACATTTTTAAGAATTTTTGTCTATTTAGTTATTGTTTAATGTGTTTGAAAAATGTTACTTTGTATTAGTTATTTTATTATCGATGTGAAGCCGAGAAGGTATTATTTTGACTAAGATGTGTTTTTTTTATGTCTGGCGCCACTTTTTTTCACTCTCATCCAACCGATTTCTTTCAATCATACGTCAAAATATCACAAATTGTAGCTAGTTGAAGACATTGCCCTTAAAAATTGAAAAATTTGTTCTCATCCCTTTAAAATGGAGGAAATCCCCCCAAAAATTACAATTTTGAAAATTTACCAATTTTTAACATTTTGTTTCTCTTAAAACTACCATAAATTTTTGAAAAACGAACGTGCCTAAATAATTAGATATTTTCTTTTCATGGAATCACAGTTTTTTAAATTTTGACCCGTTACCAAACCACAGGGGGGGATTTAAAGTAGCAACTTTTTTTACAAATGTCAACTTTTTCAACTTTACTTTTGAAAATGTTTCGGTAATACTGCGTCTTTCAAATATATGTTAAATTAATGCTTATGTTACGTACTATAAGTTAAAAAAAAAATTGTCCCGACGACCCATCTTCTATGTGCAAATGGCAGTCGAAGTTGAACAAAAAATAGAAGGTAATTTTGCTTTTGGAATAATCCACCTTTTAGCTTTGATGCGAAGCTGAGAAGGTATTGGTTTTACTATGATGTGTTTATTTTTTTTTATTATTTTTTTTTTTTTTTTGCCTGTTACCACTTTTTCTCAGCTCTCACCGAACGGATTTCTTTCAACGATACGTCAATAGATCACAAATCGTATCTAGTCAAAGACATTACCCTTCAAAATTGAAAAAATTTCCCTCGTTCTCCGTAAATGGGGGAAACCTCCAAAAAAATTACAAATTTAAAAATCGCTAATTTTCGAAATGTTTTCAATTTTTTTTATTAAAAACTGCCGTAACTTTTTAAAAAATGAACATATGAATATAATTTTTTTTTTATAGATGCTTGATGTCTTTACCTATCATTTGGTATATTTTTTTTGTAAATTTGACCTTTGTCTGCCCACAGGGGGGGATTTAAAATAACAACTATTTCACAAAAAATTAACTTTTTCAACTTAACTTTTGAAAATCTTCCGGAAAGTCTGACACTTTTATATATATCTTAAATTAAAGCTAATGTAATGTACTTTAATTTGAAAAAAAAAAATTTGACCTCTGGATTTGTCTTCATGGTGAAAACGGCTACCGAATGCTATTTTTGTGTGAAAATTCTCGATTTTATAATTTACATTTTTTAC